ATTCAAGTGCTGAATCATAGTGCTGGACATAGGAGCAACCCACAAATTCTTTTTTTGCCCTAATTCTTCCAGTCAAAATTTTCTAACTTATTTCTTTTGTGCATGTGCTCCACTCTTACAGATTTGCTTGGATTACCCCAGTCAGATAATTTTGAACTTCAATGCTTCGTACTCAATTGTAGTCTCTAGTTCAAAGTTAATAATTTAAACAATAAGGGTAAGAAAGTCTTATCTCTGAAAAAAACTGTACCAACCTAAAAAAATTATAAAACAGTTTTTATGTTTATATTTATGCTCCCAACCAAGCCATTATTAAGCCATGTGCCACTAATAAGATAATGACATTGTGACACTGACCTGACAATATCAAGAGGTAACTAAGAGACAGAAGATGAAGCACATTTGCTGTAATGCAAAATACTCCAAAACCATTACGTTATAATTTAAGGGTGATGGGTTTTCAGACTCAAAGCTCAAATTATAGTAAGGAGGGTTTCTCTTAAAACACACGGTTGTGTTTCTGTACTTAGGGAAGGGGATGTCAAACTTTTTCTGTAAAGACTCAGTTAATATTTTGGCTTTTGCGGGCTCTGTGGTATCTGTGGGAACTCTTCAACTCTGCCTTTGTAGCAGGGGGGCAGCTGCAGACCCCTTCACAAATGGGTGTGGCTGTGCATTAAGCTTTGGTAAAAAATGCGGCAGATCATATCTGGCCCAGGGCTGCAGCTGACCACGCTCCCGCAGACACGGGGCACGTGGGCGTGTTAAACATACACGCATGTGGTGTATGTAAGTGAGAAGTGGTGTGTACCTCAGCACAGGAACTTCCGCCTGCCTATCTCCACGGCCAAGGTAGCCTCATGGGCATGTGACCAGTGCAGTCACACAGGGCCCCCATTTGAGAAGGGCCCTGGCTGCTGTTTAATGCTGTGGCTGATCTCTTGAATCCTTAATGCCTTTATGTTAGAATTTGTGTTTTGTGAGGGAAACCGATGGGCCACTGGAAGCCCTGCCCCCATCTATGGTCTTCCTCTCACTTGCAGCCCTGGGAAGTTCTCAGACAGTTGTACCCCTCCAGCTTCCTCTTTCCTGTCCCTAATTTGGAACCCTGCTGGCCTCTGCCTTGGGTGGGACCAGGTCCTGGCGGGGTGGGGGCAGGGGGAGGCACATATTCTGTTCTTATCTTTTGCCTCGGATGTGAGTCCAGATGTGAGCTGGGGAAGGCTGGGTTGAGTGTGTCAGGGCAGGAATGGAGGTAGCCACCCCTCCACTGCAACCTCTAGGGGGTCATCCACCTGACCACCTTGGGATGGAGAAGATTCACTCCCTCCCCTCCCCACAGGGGTGTAGCGTGTCATTCCTGTCGCTCGTGGCGAGGAGAACCCACATATCAAGGGCCCATGTGCTCACCCAGTCATGGGGCACTTGCGGGGGTCTACACTCCCCCATGAGCATCCCTGCGCTGCAAGGAGGCTAAAGAGACAGACAGAGTGCAGAAGAAAGGAAAACATCTTATATTTTAGTACCTTTAGTATCACTTTTTTTCTTGTAGTTTCCTTTTGCACTAGGGCCTGATCGAAGGTTAGGAGCTAAAAAGAATCACCTTCTGAGATTCATCTACCAGAATGAAAGTTGACAAAGAAAATCCCAAGTATGCATCAGTCAGTTCAGAGTCAGCTACCTCTGTAATGCCAGGGTAATGACAGGGCTTCCCGCAGCATTCCTAAACCTTAAGTGGAAGGCTTTGAAATTGTTTTGGGTTTCAGATTGTACAGGGATCCTTTCAGGGCATGAAGATTGGGGGTGTTGCAGGATAGCCATTTCCCTCTGATAGTGTGATACAGGACTGATAACTTTTTCTTTAGAATGATGAGAAGGTATCTTATAAATATAAAGCACAATCAGAACATTATGTATGAAATGTAGGAAGACAGCAACAGAGAGAGAAAGTTGAACATTTTCTAAGCTTTCCCTTCATTTCCTATTTCCTATTAAAGAAGGTAAGACATCATATTCCAACATACAAAAACATACCTGTTTCCCGGATTTGAATAAGGCAACTGTGAAACACACACTATTGAGATAGTCCAAGAACTCTAAGTATGGGTTGGGCATTATATGACATTAAAGAACTACTGCTAAAATGGTTAGTGTGATGATGACATAATAACTAGGAAAAAGTCCTTCCTGAAATAACATGATGTCTGAGACCTTTAAATATATCAGCAAAACAAGTGGACAAAGAAGACAGAAGAAGAGGATGAGGAAGAAGAGAAGATGGAGAAGAAAAAGATGGGACAGAGATGACACAGATGATGAAGACGAAGGAGGAGAAAAAAATGTGAGATGAAACAGAATTGCCAAAATGATGAACCTAGGTGATAGAAATGTGTAGTGGGAATTAATTAAAATATTCTCTTTATCCTCTCACATATGTTTTTAAATCCCCATAATGTAGTGTGTGTGTGTGTGTGTGTGTGTGTGTGTGTGTGTGTGTGTGCTGCCTAAAAATTAGAATTCAGATTTTTCCTTCTTCTCCGAACCAAATGTCTTTTTTTTGTGTGTGCAAGAAGCATCCTCTGAGGCTGACCAGAGCTCTTTAAGATGTGATGCAAAGGAGCTGATGGAAAGGATAAACCTAACACAATATAAAAAAGAAAAGGAGAAAGTGGGAAGAAGAGAGTGCCATTGTCACTCTCCTGACCTTTCCTTCTAATTGTGCCAGAGTCAAGGCCCGGGTCACAAGAAAAACAATTTGGGTGGTCAACCATTTGCCCTATTTGTATACATCAAAAAGCTCGTGTTCTCCCCACATTCCAATCTCTCAGTTTCCCACCTACTTTTAAAATGTTATCAAGAGGTCAGATTAACAAAAATATGAATCAAATGATTGTATTACAAGGAACACTTTGTTTATAAACCTAGAGATACCCTTCTTATTATTCCAAATAGAATGATATGTAACTTTTTAAAAGTTAAATATGCTTTATATTATTATGGATATTTCAGGTAAGTGCTGCACATGCCCAGCTTTCAAAAGTTAAATGTAAATTTCTCTCTTGAGTGCAGATGGCGGCCAAGCAAAGTAGCTCTTGGGTCTTCCAGACAGAAGGTCAGGTCATGGCTGAAAGACCAAAGAACAATTGCTGCTTTGCTACTCCAGATCATCCGTGGAATGAGACACCACTACTTTCTTTTCTGAAACTGTCTGGGCAATACAAAACCATTACAAAGAGTACCTATAAGATTTCCTTACATTCTGTACAAGAAAAAATGGTAACAAGCATTTGACATCACAAACATCTTGTAACCATTCATAGGTTTTATTTCTAACTCTCTCACCTTGTAAAAACGCACATCTCTATCTAAAAGCAACATTACACATCACTATGAAAACTGTTAATGCTTCACTATTTTGCAGGAACTGTTTAAAAAGAAAACTGCCCCTCTTAAAATCCAGCAACTTCAGGCTCCACATCATTACTTATTAATTAAAATGAGATAAAGTGATAAAAGCAAATATTACATACTTTTCTATCCATGCTATTAATTTACAAGTGATATTATAATCTTACTGTTTTGATAAAATCTGATTGTTTTTTTTTCTCCAGAACATTATAATGTAATTTTCAACAACTCAGAGACTTCTTCACTATATTTTGCCAGTTAGTGTAAAATGTTATGCTGGCATATGCTGTAGAATAACACAAAGGCATAATAATGCTAGTGGGCCTTAAAAAATAATACCTTAAAATTATGATATGATACCTTAAAAAATAAATCATAACACATCAGGAAAGGAAAGTTCTGAGTTTGGTTTGACAGTCCCACACCTGATAGAAAGCGTTTTCAATTCCACTATCAGGCACGCCCCCAACTGGACAGAATAAAATAGCTTCATATTCTGAACATGTTAATAATGAAAATTCTTCTGAAAACATGAAACTCATAATACTTGGAATATAGTGATACAGAAACAGCATTTGAGTATGGCTGTTTAGATTTTAATTTAGTGCCAGGGATTTCAGTTATGACTTGGAAAACTGTACTAAATTTCATTATCATTCATTTTTAATACTTATCACAATTATCTTTGTGTCATCTGCATAGAGTTGAGTTGAAAGGAAAACGTGGGAAAATACAATAAAAATCTTTGAACTAGAAATACATCTCAAAAAAAATTTACTTGGGGCTACCTATTTTGAAATTGTGGTGAGTTCTTTAAAATATTGTCACTGAGAACTCAGTCTTATTTTAATTGAATAGATTTATCAACCTGCTTTCACTGAATATAAAGGAAAAGCCTTCAATGTTCTGTACTGCAATGTAAAAATAGAAAATCAAAAGCCAGCCTATTAGAACTGCATCTCTAAAAACTTTATCCACATTGTCAATTAAAATTGGAGTATCTACATGGTCTCAACAAAGACATAACATAAAACATCTGCTCAAAATGAAATTGAAGTAAGCAGCATTTTCCCCTAACATTTCTAACTTCACTGTATTTAGGCTTCCTGAGCAAACATATTCATGGTTATCTTAGTTAGAACTGGTTTCACTCTGCCAACAATCAATTTGATTGACATATTTACATATCAACTCATCTCATGTTACAAATTTTAAACTTTTTCACTTAAAATTGGATTCAAGTTGGCATCTTTCAAGAACTTTATGTACGTATATTTTAGGTTCAAACTGTGCATTAGAATGTTTTTTTTTTTACTTTTGTAAGTAATAGATACACATATCCAAATGTATATTTATGACCTGTCAGATTGGAATGTTATATGCATGCAGTTGTATTCTCACCATTTTATGTGAAAGGTGATAATTTTAGGCAACTATAAATGAAATTCTTTTAATAGTATAAACTGGATCGTTCCATTAGTTAGAAACAATATAATACAAATTAATGTCTCAGGAAATAAAATCACCTCAACTTCAGAAAGAATGTTAGTTATGGCTTTAATTGCTGCAGTTACACTTGAATCATTTCTTACCTGGTCTTTAATGTCAAGATCTATTTTAGTTTTTGTTCTGTACTTTCTGTGCTCCTTCTCTGCCTCCTCCTTCTCCATTGTGGTTTTATTCAATTGATAGCGCATTTCCCCACACACCTGTTAGATTATTAAAAACTATATCAATAGCTGCTGGAATCTACCAGGCAGTGACTGCAATGAGATCTTTTGGTGCCCCCTGGAGGTCATATGAATAAACTACAACAGAACTTTGCTAAGAATGGCATTTTCTATCAGAATATTCAATACATTCTGTTAAAATGTGGAGGCAATCTCAGGTATTACTGAGTCTAATAATTTTAAATTACAGATAAAGAATGCATTTCTAAGGAATTTAAGTAACATGTACAAGATTTTTTATGTAAAATAAGTTTTAATTGCATACTACCATCCAAAAATGCACTATTATCTCAATTTTAACTAGGTAAAATTATTAATTATAATATTAAGGTATGTTATCATTCATTACAATTGCTAAGGTTAAATAGACATTGTAAGTCATAAAACTCCTTTAAATACTTTATCAGTTAGGTTTTTATTTAAATAAATTTATAAAGTAATTTTTCTCTGTTAAACTATACTATACATTGATATTTAGATATATGGTATTTACATATCAGCAGATAAAAATCAATCTTATCATGTACAATACTATGTACTTAAGTTAAGAAAGATTGTGTGGCAAAAGTCACAGACTGGATCTAAGCAAAATCTACATCTATAACTGTAGCATTCAACACAATAGGAAAATGTTAAAATGAAGAATACACACAGTATCTTTAAACTGTTGTATACCATCCTTTATACACTTGTTTTTTCAATCCAGGGCTTAGACAGACAGGCAGGTATGTTAGAAAATTCAATTAGCAGATAAATCTAAATCATGAAATTATATGAGCCTATGACATAACTGAGAACCTACAGAGAGATCAATTAATACAAGAGACTGCTAAATCAGGTTCTAATGTGCAAATATAAGCTTTTAAAAATTATGCATCATCCAACGGTTATACTTGCTTAAAAATTTTCAATTTTGGTATTTCTCCAAAAGTAATGATTAGAACTTTAGAAATTAGTTTCATCATATTGAAGTGATAGACCTATAAATCCTATAAGCATTTCCTATGTTCAAATAAAAAATACTTTGAAAAATAAACTAGTTTGTGTTTAAAAGTTACAGTGACAAGACAGAAGAAAATGTCAGTAAGCTTCTCCCCAGTGGCCCTTAAAAAGCTACAAAAAGGATAAAATTCCTAAAAATTCGATTTGAAATTCAAACACCTTCAGTGTGAGTTGATCCTTCCTATTTCAAAAAAAGTAAGTTATAAAAAGGTATTAATTTTTAAACTAAATAAAATTTAAAGATTAAGAGTGACAGAAAAAAATAAGGTGCCCAAATTACATTCTTTCTTAGTTCTTCACTATTCCAATCCATTTGATTTACATATATTGAGAAATTTAGAAGTCCAAATTGATAAAACCAGAAAATAATAATTATACAACCACAGTATTTGAAACCCAACACCAAAACAAAGTTATTATGTATAATAAAGGTCTAAGCATTAGGTCCTATTTAAAATTGTTTTATCCCTTAATTTTATCTTCAAAGTTCCTTTGCCTTACACTTAGCCATAACACTTAAATTCCATCTAACATAAGTCAATAAATTAAATTGTACTAGAATTATATTATCCCACGGTTGGAAGCAACCTCAAGACATTCTTCTGATACTTGAGGCCTTTTGGACAATTCTATAAACAAAGTGCTCTTTCCTCACTATGTCACATTTCAACAGAAAGTTCTCTCCTCGTAATGAACTGAAAATGCTCATAGCTGTTACCCATAAATTTGGGTTAACTATTTCCATTCCTTTGCACCAATTACCTAACTTGTACCCCTACCTCCACACAAACTCATCAATTATATTGGCAAATATGCTATTTTTAAATGTCTACATTAGCTAGCCAGAATTCTAGAAAACAAGTGGAAAATTACAGAATTTCAAGGCAAAATAAGTTTTCTTTCCTAAAATATATTAACTTTACTTACTAGACTATAAAGCAACAATGGCATTAAAACTGTGTCAACATTTAGGAAACTATGTTGAGAAGTAAAATAGAGTATGAGAGGGGTATACATTATCTATGTATGTATTGGTGAAAAATAAATTGATTTAACTTACTGCATCATGCATGCCAGTTTTCAGTTTCTTAGTTTCAAAGCAATTGATTGCTGAAATCTACATGGGTTTCTGGTGTTTCTTAAATATGTACCTTACATTAGCCAGTTAAGATCATGAAACATTTTAGTTCTTGGCTCACAAATTTGTGATACCACAGATTCTGTGGTATTTTAAAGTATGAATTTAAGGACCAATAATAAAATAAGAAGTTTAGTATAAGAATCCTGATTTTAGAGACCAGGTCTGAAAAGGAATGGGAAATGGAGAATTTTTTGTTAAGCATACTTTTCATGTTGTAACCATATGTCTTAAGAGTATTATTGTGAAGACCAGACCTCTATGCTATCTCTGGCAAAAATGACTCCTAACTGACTAATCTAGAAATACAAGTTCTATCGAAGATTAGATAATTAAAGTAATAAAACTTGCTTATTTACAAGTCTGTCTGGGCTACTTAACTCCTGAGCTCTTCAAGGACACTGTCTCTGTCCGATTCATCTTCTTATTGGGGGCGCTGGGCACAGAGCCCACCAAGAGGAAGTCAGTTGTCTGCCAAATGGTCATCATGGGCACCCTTATTAACTTGAAATAACAAAACTTTTCTATTCTAAATGTCTTTCTGAGATTTCTACATTAGGAAAACTTTTTTCAAATAAAATATTTAAGTCCTTAGTAAACTGAAATCTCTCTTTGTACCTTTGTGATATCCATTTCCCGGGAAGTGAGCTGGCTTTGAATTTCCTCTAGTTGATGAGTCACTGAAACCTTCTCCCTTGTAACCCTTTCCACCTGGGCCTCCAGCTGGGCAATATTCTGAGACAGGGTCAACATCTGTAAAGGGAAATGAAAGTCCTAAACAATAATGTCACTTGATGATAAAAATATGAAAGCTATCTTGAATTAAGAGAGTCTCAGCATGGCCACTGGTCTCTGAAAGTCACTTCTCTACTTCTCAACTTCATTATCCCCCATGACTTAAATATGTATTTCCCCCCAGTCATTCTTTGGTCTTCACACTCATTTCGGAAAACACATAACAAGATGATGAAATCAGAGATTTAGTTGTAATTCTAGGGTGACAGGTATCAGCCAGCCATGTAAGCTATGGAAGAGACTGACATGAATACATTTCAGTAGAGACGTCAAGGAATCAGACAACTCTTGAGCCATTCTCCCACACGGAAGGCATAAAAGGACTGACTGGGAGAGCTGGAGAGGCACAGGTCTTTGGAGAGAGCCACTGGTGTCTATGAATCCCAACCCTCTTCCCCCAATATCAACAAAGAGGAGGTTCTATACAATGCCCTTTGTTGGTAAAACCTCACCAGCCCTCCCATCATCCAGCTATCCCTGTTCCTCTCAGCATCATCTCCTCTCCTCCAGAAAGGCCTCTTTGACCTCTACCTCCCAGCACAAAGAAAGAGTCCCAGTTGCTTTTCAGCCAGTGTAGACTGGGAGTCATGCCTACTGTCTGCAGCTGGCATCCACTCTCACTGGCTGCAGCCCCTGCTGTACTGGTGAGTTAATATTTTGATTATCACTCTGGCATGTGCTTCTACAGCAACCTGTGTAAATTTCTATCACACCCCCACCTCTACCTAGCTTTAGCACACTGTTATCACACTGTTTTTAGTTGTTTGCTTTTCTCATCAGACTAGAAGCTCCTCAAGGGTATGTTCTTGAGAAGCACCAAATTTGATGAATGAATGAATGATAAGAATAAACGGCTTTCTGAGAGACTCTGTATATCAGATCCTTAGTTTTTCTCCCAGGGTTAGAAATGCTTTTCAGATCTCAGATTTTTGTTTGCAATTACATTTTACTCTGCTCCAGTAAGTCACAATTCTCTAGGCTCTTAATTCCTCACTTATATTATCGGTTTTAAGATGAAGAAAAATGCTACCCTCCTCCAGAGCAAAACAGATAACAATATCTATCAGTTTTTAATCTGCTAAAACAAGAACAAGTAACAAATTTGAAATAATATTTGAAGCCTACTGTTTTGCACTGATATGGGTGTAAATTCAGTTGTACAGCTGAAATCAATAACTGAAATAATGAGCCCTGGTAGCCATTTGCTGATTAGATGGCAGACGTACTCATTAACTTTCTGGGGATCGTGAAGAATAGTTTATTTGACTAATAGTTGTTTACATGTCCTTCTTGTCATCAAAAGATCAGCTAGAAATCTAGTTTGCACATAAAATTAGTTTTACTAATACCAAGCTATGAGCTATCTTAATGCATATTATAAGCTGAATCTAAAATTAAAGGTTAAAAGAAGTTAAATGTAACAAATAGAAAATATTAATTTAATTTCCTTAATTTAAACATTCAAGTCCATGAGTACCCATATTATGAATGTGTAATTATAGCTTTTCTGGAACCATACAACAGCAAACTTCAATTATCAGGTACTAAAAATATTTAGGTGGAGCTATATCTTATGGTAAATGTATTAACATTGTGTGGTTTAGGAAGCAAATATGCAGACATTTATTTTGCTGCCTGTAAATTCTGAGTCAGTTCCTACTGTAAAGCATGTACACATCACACTCTTTCCATATGATTCCCTCCCTCTGCCACCCATCACTTCTTTCCTCTTCCTGCTACCTGTCTGCTTCCTCCTGTCACCCACTTCCTGAGGCCTCTGCTCCTGTTGTCACACCTTCTTTTTCCCCATGCCTACCATCTGGAAGTCAACATTACACTGCAGGAGCTTCTCCATCCACATCTGTTGCAGAGAAAGAAGTAACACAGCCAGCTGAAACACTGCTGGATGTCCAGGGCATCGACATCAGGTGAGTCCTTTAAACTTTGACAGGGGCAAGTCAGAGACAAGGACACGCAGGCAGGGAGAGTGTGATAGAAATCTCTACACTAAAGCAGTCCCTAGCATGCTGAACATGGTATAAAGCAGTACTCCCTATATAAGAAGGACAAGCGTTCTGGATGTGGGCCAACGGATTTTGCTGTTATCAAGGGAACCAACTGAAAAAAACACACAAGCCATGGGGGGCACTTAATAAATATATGATGATGGCTGACCTAACAAACCTAGCAGTACAGGGCAGGCAAGGACCATCACCAAACACAACAAACCACCTCACAGCAAGTACTGTTCATGGAGGATGATTCAGAATCTGTAGAGGTGGGAGGCATCTGCTCTCCTAGAGCATCCTGCACAAATGAAATTTCAGAAGAAGGAGTAAGAAGGAAGGAGAGAAGAAAAATAATGAAAAGATAGAAAAATCTACAAGTCTCGAAAGCACTCCTTACTCCCCTAGGAGAGCAAGGGTGGCTTGCTCTAGCAGGAACCACAGAGCACTCAAAGTGTTAGGATCAACTGCTCAGTCTCCTTATTAGATTAACTTCTTCTGCTAGGCAGTGCCATTTACAGCCTTTTAATCCCCTTTGATGAGGAATTACATCGGTTTAATTTTCAGTTGAAAAAAATGAGATTCAGAAAATTTCAGAGAAGTAATTTTCCCCACTTCATTCAAGCTATTAAGTAGAAGGGTAGGCTTTATATTAATCTGTCTGCTTTTATTAACACAAAAGTCCAAGAAACCTGTCCAAAAAGGCTACTTCTCCCTTTCTCAAGAGTAAGCATGATACTAGCCACAAGCTAAAATTTATAACATGTCTACTCTAAGCCAGGTATTATATTAGGTACTTTTAAAACATGTTCTTATTTAATCCTGTCAATTCCTTGAGTAGATCAACTCCATTATTTACTCCCCTGAAATTAGGAGAGGTTAAATGAAATGTTTCAGGTCACAGAAAGGTCAAATTGGTTTCCATCCCTAAACCCTTTTACCCAAAGCCACTTCCTGCTGCTGGTGAAAGAACTTCCCTCAGGGCAGGACCACTTTCAGCTCTTCACTCCATACATCTTTACTGAGGGCAGAACCTTAAGATTACATGTCAGCCAAGGTTTACTGGGGGCAAAACAAATGACTCAGACTCAGAAATACATTGTATTTCTATTGCCACTTTTCTTCATGAAATAATTGTCAGTGTAAGAACGAGGTTCTGTTACACACCAAAGTCCCTGGAATGCCGCTTGCTGCATTTCCACTTCCCTCTGTCCTTTTTTATCGGGAATTCTTATCAATCTATTTTTATCAGTAAAGCAAAGGTTTCCACTGAGCAACACAGAAAATAAGTCTCCTAAGTGTTAACAGTAGTCTTTGCTATTGATATCTTCTCTTACACAGAGCACTCAGTTTACAACTTTACCTCCCTCCACACCTTATTTATAATGGTACAGCCAGTGTTCCTTCCCCCATATTTGCTTTCCTAAATCCTACCTATTCTTTGAAGCTCAGCTAAAAGGCTTCCATGTGGAGCTTCTCCACAGTCTTCCATGATCTCTTGAAGAGAGGGACCCATTCTGAGCCTCTGAATCCTCGCATTTTAGTCATACTTTTCCAAAGTTACAGGCTTTTTTTCTTCCCATTGTATTATATTCATTCATTCAACAAATATGTATTTGTCATTGAAGTGGTGCTTATAAATGAGGTAACAAAAGACTTAAAAGCTAGCGTGCCTTTTCAGCTGTGCTCACTTACAGGAAATGACAGGATGCTGATGATTCTTAGGGCCACACTGCAGAACTGGCGAACACCAGGAAACCCAAGATGGCAGCTGAGCTTCAGCTTGAACCTGCTTGTAACTCATTATACCCTCATAACAGTAAAAATCATGCCCACTAAGGAGATGCACTTTGCTAGGCACATTTTGAGCCATCTGCAAAATCAGAGAAACTGCACATGCTCCAGCGGTCCCAGGAACTCTCAGACCTTTTCCTGGGATGGAGAGGTTGTCTCAGAGGCTCTGTCCCCCAGTCCCTGGAAAGATAGCTGTCTTTCTCCCTCAGGGAGAGGGTGCCATTCCCAGCATGAGCTTACCTTCTCCATTCTTTGATCAAAGAATAAAGTTTCTGCTCTTGTATACCAAACCCGATGAGGTTGTATTGGAGTAAATAATTCCAGGCAAAAGTCATTGAAATTAGGATTTGTAACATATTGAGCACATTTTGTGTGAATGTGCCAAGCAATGAGGATGATAACAGACCATATATTCAAGGGTCTCCCAGGAAATTAGGAGAAACAAACAATTTAACAAGACATTTCAATAAATTGAGTTACGGGAGCCCATTGGAGAGGCTCCCAGTCCAATTTTGGGAGACTTTGAAGGGAGGTGTTACCACAGAGCACTCTGAAGAGTAAGTCAGAAGGGGCAGAGGAAGATTCCCCGAGGCAGGGAGCAAAGCACACACAAAACCTTGAAGTGAAAAGGTAGTATGGCAGATTGGCATGTTTACACTTTGAGAAGGTGCACATAAGTCAGTGGGGTGGCAATGCAAGGAAGAAAAGGAAAGAAAGGTGACACTGGAGAGCCAAAGAGAGGAAGACAACTGTAGAGTCCTTTTGCTATGCTAAAGGACTGTAAATTTTATCCAAGGGGTTGCAAGGAGACAGGAAAGGATTTTAAAGCAGGAGGCAGACATATGACATGTTCACTCTGGAAAGATTGCCCCGAATGTGCTTTACAGAACAGAGGGGACAGAGGTGAGCTTGGAGCAAGGAGACCACTGGGGGCTGCAGGAATCATCCAAGGGTGAGCCATGGATGGCCGTGGAATGGAGAGGCAATGGGAAACTCTTATGGGCCTGAATCTCTAGAACTTGGTGACAACGCAGGGGAGAATGAGGGAGAGGGAGAGACAAGGTGACAGCAAGAGCCTGAGTCTGGGCAACTGGACGCACAACACTGAGAGGGCGGATGGGATGGGACGTGAACTGGTTTGGGGGCTCACTTGAGAGC